AAAAAGTACAAATTATGTCAAAACAAAGTAAGCTACGCGGTTGTAATACTACCGGAAGATGAAAAGGACCAGTGAACAAAAGACAGCTCATGTTGTTATAGCATTTGTATTTATTACACATCTAACTCATACGACAAAATGTAGTGAAATCAGTACCAAATACGTGTCAAAGCTCGCTTTGTCATTATTAGTCTCTGATATAATATAATAATAATAAAAATATATAATAGGAAAAAGAGCTTTAAATTGTGACAGTTGTCCCAACCATCCGGTAGCCATCGATCTCCACGCGCCAGCAGCTGCAATTCTACGCTCCACGTTTCCGTTCTGTCGATGTGAGACTGGCAACTTAGCTGTGCTCTTGTGTCATTCTCTGAACTGCTGTTCTAGCTTGCCAAATCGTCTGCGATAACGACAACTCAATTCAATTTAAAATATCTTTTAGAGCATGTTAGGTGTTTAGTTATGGGTCTGCAGTCATTTAAATGAGATTAAAAGTCAGTTAAACATTCGGCAGGTGTAGAAGATACATCTGGCCCTCACAACAATTCAGCTGCGACTCTGTACCTGGAGGGTGTGAGAGAGAGTAAGGTCACCTTTGGGTCAGGGCTCGTGTGAGTTGGCGCAGCGCCTGTAGCGCCCGAGACTTGTTGCGAAGTCTCTCCTCCAGGGCTGTCAGCTTGTCGCTGGGCATAGACGCACTGCTGCCGAGGCTAGGCCCCTCGCCGCTGGCTGCCGCTCTGAAAAACCCAACGCGAGCCTTAGTGGAACAATTCTGAAAAGTGATCCTGCTCTCGAGTACCATTGCGTGGAAGGAAGCAAGCTGGAATTATTGTGGCGAATAATAAGCGGGTGAAACGGTTCGGTTATACTGCGAGTGGGTGAATCGCAATTCAGTCAAGGCTGTATATAATGGCCACTGGATTTAAACGGTGAGAGTGGCCTCACAGACAGGTCGCCGTCTATCGACGTGGCCGCTAACACAAGTGTGATTGTACTCGGTGCACCAATACGTATTAACAGTGAACGGCTAGTGCAATTCTCACCCAGGTTGAAGTTCTAGCATTGCTCTCGTCAGCGGCGGCGTCGGCGTTGCACGCGGAGCTCCGGCGATCGTACAGTGTTGCGGACGTAGCTGTTGTAGACGTGCGACGATAGGAAAGACGGGTAGAAGCGATCCTCGAGCATGTTCGAACAGCTCCTGCTGAGCCTCGTAGAATGCCCTCCGGTCCGTTGCGTATAACGGCGTAAATGTGAAGTATTGCAACATGCGTTAAACGTCCCAGTAGGTGGCGCTAACTACTTCACCGAAGCCAGTGATGAACACCCAACGTCACAGCCTGGACTGGGGTGGAATAAATTCGATGTTCATATCATATAAGTAAACGTTGCTTCTTCAGTCTTACTTGTTGAAAACAACAGTAAAGGAAGCAGTGAGGGCAAACATCGGCCGACGTAATGAGTCACCACATATGACAGAATCTAGTTCTGAATGAGATATGGCACATGAACCATTGCAACAGAATGTACACACGATGCGAACCTGCGTATGACCCGTACTGCAAGGACACACGAAAAGTGTCTTTGTGATAGGATAAGTTGATGTCAGGTAACTTTGTGTCAATGCAAACAGCATAAAAAGTGTTTTCCCAGCCAAAATCTGATCGCCTTGGAAAGACACCCACGATACGAGGACGAGGGTGTCCTGTGAAAAGGTCTATTGTATATTAACTCTATAAGCCATCTCAAATAAATGTAATCTATGGATTGCATTAACTTTTCATTCTTGTCCCAATGTTTCTAAAATAATTAATAGCAATTAAGATCCATATAGGGTGTGACCTGCTAACATTTCAAATACCTTGTCAGCAACAAGAAATGCTTCACTGTGCTTAACAATAGCACGATCTAACTTCACTGCACTGCTGCTGCTGCTCAACAGATGGCGTTGTAAGAGCTCTGTGGCTCACTCCATGCTGTTGCACGCTGAAATAGGGCTATCCATGCATCATTGTGACAACTTAATTTACTATGCCTAACCTACCATTATTGTAATGACTACAAACTCTTATCACAAAGAGTATCACAATTCTTTCATCTGTGAAATTAAACTCGTTTCTTAGAATTTGGTGCATTTGTGTATATTAGAATAGAGAATCTTTCAATATAATGCATTACTAGTGCGTTCGATTTGCTTCCCCAGAGCCACTGGGTTAACCTGGTACGAAAATCGTAACACGCATCTGGTTAAGGGAAGAGTAAACGAATCGGTTTTTGGGTTAACACCCGGGTTAATTATCAAATAAGATTCCCGGTAAACAAGAAAAAAAGAATAGCAAATGCAATGCTTAGTTATTAATGAAAATCTAAGAGATGAGCGGCCAGATAAAGAGGCAATGTTCCAGTAAAAAACATACATCTATAATCACAATGCACCGTCCCTTGAGCAACACACACGCCTGAAGATCCACGTCGTCAGCTGAACTCGCGATTATTCACCTGCTCATCATGCAGGCACTTGATCCGCACGTGATACGTCGCATGCATGGTGTCGTTGGCAATGGATGTGGGATACATCTCCCAAGCCACCCCCCCCCCAAGTGATACGGCCCAGCGAGCCGGTTACTTCGCTCGACCCGGGTTGAACGCCGTGGTAATGGCAAAAATACCAGACGTACTGCCAAATCGACCACTGTATTTGGGGCTGGCCCGAGTAGACCCAGGTTAACTTTGGGAGAAGCAAAATCGAACGGCATATACAAGATGCAGCGGACCCGAGGCACACGAAATCACTTTGGGCGAGGATCTCAGTTTTCTCGACACCTTCCGAGAATTCTAGCCAATGACTCGAGCCGCGTTCTCTGTCATAATACTGCGAGAAGTGCCTTTCTCCCCTCTACTGTCTCCATGATGGGCAGTGAAGGATAGTGCCTGTGACGAGAATGCATCCAAGCACATCATACATCACATCAAAAGTAGATGAGGGAAGAATTCGTTTCTTATCTATTTTTAACACATCTAAATTATATATTGATATATTATATATCTAATACATTATTTGTGGAACGTTTCTCGTTCGTCTGTTCTCAGATCAAATCAATATCGGCCACTCTATATATGTCCAAGGATGGCCATTACATGCAACTTTGGATACATTGGAACATGGGCGCATTGGATTTGACCTCCGAGGTCATCTGACATTGCAAAACAAAACAAGCCGAGGAGCGACAGCGCTCATCTAGCATCTACTGCGGTGACTCTGTGGTGGAGTGTGTGGGATTCTAGTAAACCCTGTTAGTCCGCAAAATTGTGTTCACATACCGCGGCCAAAAACAGTGGATGGCACAGGGATGGTAATCAGGAACCTCCAAAGGAATGTTCGTTGGGATCTTTATGAAAGTGTCCACGCCAGATGGCACGTACGTTAAGTGTCTTCAGATATAAAGATGGAAGCTCCCATCGTACGTAGTAGGCAACAACTATTTGCAAGACAGAATAGGTAAGCACTCATGCCATTTACCGTACGCAAGCCTACAGGTCTAAATAGAGAGCTACCACCTGTAACTAATTAACACAGGCAAAAGCTACACAGTACTATTGGCCACTACATGCACTGGCAATGGCATAAGTTACATGTAACACACTGACAGTACAGAATTGCCATAGAAAATATACGATTTAAGGAGCATAAACCTTCTTCAACCAAATTTAGCTTTTAAATTTCACGTGTGACATTGTAGGCTCATACATCCAGGCATGTATAGATTCTACTAACAAAACATCCGGCAGTCAATTCTTTCTAACAGTAAACAAATCCATGTTTAACCCTCCTGCTTGAGGGTCAAAAGGTTATCCGACACTTACTCTTCGCATATCAGCAGAAAGTAAATTTCATGTCTTTCAATAAAGCCATAAAAATGGCTAGTCACGCGCTGAAGCAAAAAGTTTTTCAATCGCTCCGTCAGACATGTCCTCAGAAAATGTTTAAAATCTGCCTGTGCCCCATTGACCTTTGACCTGTGACCTCAAATTTTGGCACAGTGATGCTTTTCCTACCATGATGCTATATCACCAACTATCACGAGGCCTAGGTCGAACCGTTTAGATTTGGCCGCAATTCTGCATTTCCTCCCTATTACCTTTAAGTTAAGGAGGGAAGTTCCGCCTTCTTTACACCTCTTGACTTTGACCTTTGAACCCACAATGCGCCAGCTTCGACACTCAACCAACTGCGTTTCAGATATTCGCCCCCCCCCCACTCCCCAAATATCGTGACGCGTACGTCGAGCGGTAAGATTTGTGCCCAAGCTGTTTGATCGGACGGACGACGGACGACGGACGGACGGACGACGGACGCACGCACGGACGATCATGCGATCTACAAGCTGCATCTGACTACGTCAGATGAGCTAAAAAATAAAGAAAAAATATGTCGTCAGATGAGCTAAAAATGAAGAAAAAATTATGCCCCTGCAGCAGCGTTACATCAACGCACCCTTGTAGCGGTAAATAAACCGGCCCACATGCAGACGGGATTCACTTTGCACTGGCTTGCATGTCTGTCATGTCATTGTTGTAACAACATTCACCTTGCACCGACTTGATACAAAGTGTGCAAGACTATACGTAGCACAATTATAGACTATAGAGTGTGATAGATAGATAGATAGATAGATACATATAGATAGATAGATAGATAGATAGATAGATAAATAGATAGAGAGATAGATGGATAGATAGATAGATAGATAGATAGATAAATAGATAGATAGATAAATAGATATAGATATATTTTTGGGTATCTTTCTTTCAACCAAGTGGTCACCAATCGAGCGCTTTATTTCCCGGGCAACGCCGGGTGTCCTGCTAGAATATATATATATATATATATATATGTATATATTCAATTAATTCCTTGCCAGATCTAATCATGTAAAAAATTCCCCACAATTACAATAATAATCTTTATAAGACCCTAAGATTGGGTTACCCATGCCCACCTTTTTTCCAGGCACGTGCACCCCAGCCTGCCTCTCTCGGCTTCTGTACGACAGATACTCAGCGCCACCTAGCATGCGAATTCGGTACTCGCATTGCGCCTTTGCGTAGCGACACTGCTTGATGTAGCGATGCAGATTACGTGCCTTTAGTAACGCCCCCTTGGCACTGCTCGTAGGCTGTGCATCTCTGTCTGTGATAGGATAAAGGTACATTGTAAGGATAAGTGTACATGAGAAACTCCCAGAGAAAAGATATTCTACAGCAACAAGGCAAAGCAGAGCATTCGAATTATCCTTCTTTTCGTGATGATTGTTATCGATGCATGAGCGGGAATAATTTATCAGCCATTGCACAGTGATGTGTGACAATTTTTATGCGGAATCATCACACAAGATGCTTGTTACCTGTTTCTATTCCCTGTGCTTTTTTCCAGTTGTTGATCACGGTTGCCTGCATAATCTCAGTGATAATATGATACCTAAGAGTTCAACAATTAATTGTCACTATTAATTAAATTATTTACAGTAATCTTGGCTAAATCTATTCACACATGACTTCATCTTTAGTACACACCCCAACATAATTACATAATTATACTTTAAGAGTATAATAATTCGATACACAATTTGCACTTCAAATATGACAACCATTGTTTTTCTAAACTGGCAAATGCACCACACACAAATTCCTACAGATTTTAAAGCGTAGTCTCCACCAATACCAACTATTAGTAATTACAGCACGGAGTTTTTATCCTACTCTACAAACACCTGCTGAAACTATATACGAGTAATGCGAGCTGTATTTCAAAGTCGCCCTACCTGATTTGTTTCAACTGCTCAATGTCTGTGCAGGCATTGATCATTTTGATGAACGTCTCATACGTAGCAGCATAGGCATACGTGCGTCTGTGTGTTTCATACTCAGTCTCCCTGCTCTCTAACCAGATGACCAGCTTCTGGTTTATGTAGTCTGGATCACACACCATATCGATGCAGGGCTTTAGCACTAAACATGAAAAACAACAGGGCTTCAAAACGAAAGAACAACAACTAGGTCAGTAACCACTGATGCAAACAACCCAATGTTAGCAGTAAACAAATACAATGTTTATTTAACACTAACACAAATGATTCCCCCTATAAATTACGCTCATGAAGTATGTCATTTTATTCTGAGAACAATTTCGAGATATGGCAATCGTGACTTATGTGATCAAGTTTTTGTAACATTGTGAACTTTCATACAACGGTTCTAATACCCCATGCCATCCCGACCATTCCTCTAAGGCAGTTGTTACCGGATAACATGACTTCACGTAGGAGATATCTGATCACAGAAGCCTGCTGATGTTTTGCGGGTAGTGCGAGAACTAAGATCACATCGCATGCTTGGCGCAGATATTCTGTCTCTGTCTCTTCACTCATCAAGCAGGGGTGCAGCGAAAACATTTCATTCCTGTAAAGTTGAATCCAACCAAGATACACATACCCAATACAAAAGCAAGGTATACCTATTCTAAATAACTTGAAGCACGTTGTTTGCATAACCTACTGCATTTTCAGTAGCATTTGTCAATGATACACTGGAAAGGGTATATGATCTCATATAGATGATGTTTACTGTTGTTATTCATGCGTGTGCGAGCTACCTGAGACTAAATTGAAATGATATACAAAACCCACTAGGTTGGATACACATTTGGTTTGCTATAGTTTCTAAAACTATACTTTTTTAGAAACTCGAGATTTCAATCAAATTTGAGTTTTTTCAAAATCTCGAGTAATCAATTTGATGACTGCTACATATTTATTACACATGGCGAAGTTTGCATTTACTCACCTGAGTAAGTTGGTTGCAAAAAGAAAAATCAAGAAATATTATAGATTTTTTGTGGGATCGTTTTTTTCCGATACCTAATCTACTAATGCTTGACGATCAATTATTTAGATGCTAACCGAGAGCTGCAGTGACGGATGCTACGGAAGTGGTCACAGAGCTTCTGAACGACATCCTGCGAAATCACTTGCACTTTATCAATGTCCCTACTCTTTTTCGTCAGTTGCTGGAGCATTTCCCAGACATCAGCCCTGAAGCATTCAAACTTCATGATGTCAGCCATACTCGGTGTAGGTTACTGGATGCAAGGGCCAAATATTTCTGCTATAACAATAATAGTTTTATACGTTTCTTGTGGTACATATTGCTTTATAAAGTTAAATAGTAGTCCAGGATAAATATTGTATCACTTTTTATAAGTTTGGGTGTTCTCTTATTGGGTATAAGTAAAAGATAACTGAATCCACAGTGGAGATATGTTGTCATATATTAATCTATCAATACTTACTCAAGAACTTTTGAAAATTCATTAGTATCATTACTGATTTCTTGGTACCAACTAATGACATAGTCTCGCATAGTTAACTGTATAGCTTCTCCCAGTGCCTGATCCACTGCAAGAGATATGATGACAGGATGGGCATGGGCATCTCGATTTTCTTCCTGTTGCTTTCTTTCCTCCTCCTCCTTCTAGCGTGTAGACAAAAAGAAATACATTTACTTGAATAAATTAAACGATTGTATGGTGCCAGAACTGTAATACACTTTGCGCATGCAAAACTTTCGACTTACACGGACGTTTATTTACTGGGAACAATAAACTATAGAAATGCCCGCTAATTTGATTATGTATATTCATATCTCTAACTGTACCAGAACCTTAATGTTGTGGAATCTGCAATGCAATGCATATTGTGTGTTTGCATAAGCACATGTAGATGAGAGCTTGTACATGCATATGTGCTGGTCAAAGTCTATTATGGATAATGAGTTCATTTGTGTGCTCATGCAGATATAGTACTTAAACTAATGAAGTAGCTGCATACTATGCTATAAGTATAATATAATTAGAAATTAACTCTCTCTCTCTCTCTCTCTCTCTCTCTATATATATATATATATTACAGATGTATGCTCACCAAAATCTTAATAAAAAGTTCTCTAGAAGGAGATCTGTAAACGTCTTCTACTTGAGCTTCATGAATTCGTTGCTGTCGGATGAAGAGACGAAATCCCACAGCAGCACCTGCTAACATGCACGTAAGTACAAAGGCCACCTAGAAATGTAAAAACAAAGTACCATAAAATTGTCTGTTAGATGATCAACATATAGTTGCCATACATTCCATTCACTCCACCTGATGGAAGTTGGGGAGCAGAGTGCTACATCGGCAAACAGCAGACTTAATTAATTCGTACATGTGATGTGGTATCAAGGATCGCACGTAGTTTACTTCATAAACACGTAAAAAGATACGGGTATTCATTCGTCATGACTCAGTAAGGTCACGAAATCCTACCACCCGCATCCACCCATTTGACAAATTAGTTATTGGCAGTGGCTACGGGTACGGTAGCCGTATCTTAATGTTTAACATTTCTCTAGAGGTCTAGCAAAATTATCGGTGAAAGTGCGGATCGAGGGTCCATTTGCAGACCTGCGTTTTTCTATGAGTCACATGCATAGCAACGTACGGGCATGCATTGATTCGCAAATTACACGGTGAAACTCTGGTAATTTGGGCCTTACTTCCTTGAGAGCTTAGCTGGAGTCAGTGTGCATGCGTTTCTCTGCGCTGGTGGAAACCTCTAGAAGCTGTTGCTAGTAGATCAGTGCTGCGCGCGTGCTCGACGCGTTTACTTCCATTGTCCCATTGTCACATTACGTGGACGGGGTTCATTAATATTTAAAAAAAAGACGCATGTAGCCCCCGCGTCTCGTCGATGCCTGACTATTATATCCAGCATCGATTGGGTACGTGCGCAGCGTACCAGGCACCTATTGTAAATAGAAGTGATGTCACACAAACACACACACATACTACGATGCATTGAATCCCCCGCATACGCGCCTGTGAATCACTGGTATCCCGGCGGTTACCCCTGGTAGCGGTGACCGAGGGCATTGACACCACCGGGGGAGTCCCCTGGCATCTGGTGTGAATGCCCCTGGGGTGGATGCGCCCTACTTTAATTTTCCTGCATGTGTGAGAGGGCGGTCCATTATAGGGCAATTAACACGGCATCTGCAGCAATGTGTAGTAGAACGAAAGCGAGAGATAGAGAGAGAGAGAGAGAGAGAAAGCGGGGAGTGATCGGGAGGTGGTGAGAGTTAAGTAGTAGTAGTAGGCGATGTTTAGCGCAAAATTAGCGCAAATGTTTAGAGCGTGTTTCCTGTGAGTTGCTGCGACTCTAGGAAGTGTACAACAGTAAGCTTCCGCAATTGTTCACCGTTGCACTATTTCGTCTCTAGAAAAGGCCATTTTTGGCTCTTTTTTTTCGCCGAAATTCGGCACTAGAGTGCAATAATTTGCATTATGCACGCAAATTAGATGCCTCGTGGACGTCTAGAAAGCATTAGAAGTAAAATTATTCGTGTTGTGCCATTCCAGCTCGTGGCGTAGCCATGGTCGCCGGTCGGCCATTTGTGTGTATGAAACGGGATCCGACTACTCTGTAGAAATTCGCATCATAGAGCTGGCAAAAGTTTCGAGTGGAGCATAGAGCACGAATCTGTAGTTATTTAACATGAATAAAGTGTATGTTTTGTAAGCGCAGTAACAGTGTGCGTATTTTTAATTAATTTCTGTTCGATGCTTATTCAGGCCTGTAGCCTATGGACGCCCTCTACTGTTGTTCAACACCTTAACATTTGGGGAAAATGGCTGTTTGAAAAACAAGTGCCGTCAGGGAAGGGATATAAAATCTACTGCCGAATTGGGTTCTGTACAGAAATGTTCAGTGTTTCTCTACGACGCCCGTGGCCCTCGATCTCTCGCCTCTCTCTCTCTCCTCTCTCCTCTCTCTCTCTCTCTCTCTTCTCCTCTCTTCTCTCTCTCTCTCTCTCTCTCTCCTCTCTCCCTCCCTCCTCCCTCCCTCCCTCCTCGCTCTCGCTCTCGCCTCCTCTCTCTCTCTCTCTCTCTCTCTCTCCTCGCTCTCTCTCTCTCTCCTCTCTCTCTCTCTCTCTCCCTCTCCCTCTCCTCTCTCGTTCTCTCTCTCTCTTCTCGTCTCTCTCGCCTCTCTCGCTCTCTCTCTCTCTTCTTCTCTCTCTCCTTCTCTCTCAATCTATCTCTTTCTGTCTCTCTTTCTCGCGCTCTTTCTATTTTGCTCCTACGTCTCGCCTATGGTGCGCGCTCGCTCACGCCGCAGACAGCTTGCTGTTATAGCGAAAGCACGCACACCATGACGGCCCTCCCCCACCAGCATCAACACCCACGCACGCGCG